ATCTTTCACTTTCTTGATGGTGTCCCTTGAAGCACAAAAGTTTAAAATTTTTATTAAGTCCAACTTATCTATTTTTCTTTAATTACTTATGCTTTACACATCATATCTAAGAAACTGTTGTCTATCCAGAATCACAGACTTATGCCTATGTTTTCTTCTAAGAGTTTAGAACTTAGGCTCTTATATTTAGGCCTTTGATCCATTTTAAGTTAATTTGTGTATATGATATAAAGTGTGTGTGTGGGGGGGGGTCCATATTTTTCTTTTGCATGTGGATATTCAGTTGTCTGGTACCATTTTTTAAAATTTATTTTTTATTTTTTAATTACAGTTTAAATTCAGTATTTTTTAATATTAGTTTCAGGTGTACAGCATAGTGGCTAAACAATTATATACCTTACAAAGTGTTCTCCTCGATATTTCCAGTACTCACCGGGCACCATATTTCCTATGCTGTACTTTACATCTCCATGACTATTGTCACTACCAATCTGTACTTCTCAATCTCTTTACCCTTTTCACCTAATCCTCAACCTTCCTCTAGCACCATTTTTTAAAAAGACTACTCTTTTCCCATTGAATGGTCTCGGCACCTTTGTCAAAACTCAATTGAATGTAAATGTGAGGTTTTATTTCTGTACTCTTGATTTTATTCCATTGATCTACATGTCTGTCTTTATGCCAGTACCACATAGTCTTCATTACTGTAGCTTTATGGTAATTTTTGAAATTGGATCATGTGAGTCCTACAGCTTTTCAACATTGTTTTGGCTATTCTGGGTCCCCTGAATTTCCATATGAATTTTAGGATCAGCTTGTCAGTTTCTGGAATTTTTGACAGGGATTGCATTGAATGTTTATATCCAATGGCAAGTATTGCCATCTTCACAATATTAAGTCTTCCAATCTATGAATATGGGCTGTCTTTCATTTATTTAGGTCTTTTTAAATTTCTTTCAGTGATGTTTGGCAGTTTTCACAGTACAATCCTTGTGCTTCTAATGTTAAATTTATTCTTAAGTATTTAATTATTTGTGATGCTGTTGTAAATGGAATATATTCTTGATTTCATGTTTGGATTTTTCCTGGATAGTGTCTAGAAAAACAGTTGATTTTTGTATATTGATCTGGTACCTGAAACTTTACTGAACTCAAATAGTTCTAGTAGTTTTTTTTGGTGGGTTCCTTGGAATTTTCTATGTATAAGATCATGACATCTGAAAATAGAGGTAATTTAGTTCTTCCTTTCCAGTCTGGATGCTTTCTATTTCATTTTCTTGCCCTGGCTAGAACCTTCAGTACAATGCTGTCTACAAGAGGTGAGAGTGGACATCCTTGTCTTATTTCTAATCTTAGGTGGATCAGTCATTTACTGTTAAGGATGATGTTAGCTGTGGGCTTTGCATAGATGCTCTTTATCAGGTTAGGGAAGTTCCTTTCTATCACTAGTATGTTGACTTTTTTTTAATTTTTAAAAATATATTTCTTTATTGATTTCAGAGAGGAAGTGAGAAGGAAAGAGATAGAAACATCAATGATGAGAGAGAATCATTGATCGGCTGCCTCCTGCACCACCCCCACCGGGGACCGAGCCTGCAACCCAGGCATGTGCCCCAGGCCGGAATTGAACCTGGGACCTTTCAGTCCATAGGCCAGTGCTCTATCCACTGAGCCAAGCCGGCTAGGGCCTAGTTTGTTGACTTTTAAAAAATATGTTTTTAATTGATTTCAGAGAGAGGACAGGAGAAGGAGAGAGAGAAACATCAATGATGAGAGAATCGTTGATATTGGCTGCCTCCTGTACGCCCCCTATTGGGGATCAAGCCTGCAACCCAGGCTTGTGCCCTGACCAGGAATCAAATGGTGGCCTACTAGTTCATGGGTCAACGCTCAACCACTAAGCCACACTGACTGGGCTGTTGATGTTTTTATCATGAAAAGGTGTTGGATTTTGTTGAATGTTTTTCTGAATCTATCGAAATGATTATGTGTTCTTTGTCTTTTGTTCTATTCATGTGGTGCATTATATTGATTTATTTTCATTTGTTAAAAATATGTTATTTTTTAACATATATGTAATAATTTTACAGTAAAACATAAACAAGTTATTTTAAATGTAGAGCAAAAGTTAACATGAAATACACTCTTCTTCTTGTTTTAGAATAGTGTCCCTACATTTTTGTGCAATGATATGAATGGCTCAAGACTTAAAGATGTCTTTCCAGGACTGCTTTTTATTTTTAACTAGAGGCCTGGTGCACAAAAATTTGTGCACTCGAGGGGGTCCCTCAGCCCGGCCTGTGCCCTCTCGCAGTCTGGGACCCCTCGGGGGATGTCCACCTGCTGGCTTAGGCCCGCTCCCCGGGGGGGGGGGGAGAGGAAGAGAGAGAGAGAAAAACATCCATCAGTTGAGAGAGAGAGAGAGAGAGAGAGGAAGAGAGAGAGAGAAAAACATCCATCAGTTGCCTCCTATACGCCCGCCCCCCCACAACCGGGGATCAAACCTGCTACCTAGGTATGTGCCCTGACCAGGAATCGAACCCGCAACCTTCTGTATAAACCAACTGAGCCACCTGGCCAGAGCAAGCATAAAACAATAGTTATGCTAGGAAAATAATCTTTTGTGGTTTTAAAAACTGGTATAAGTTAGGGGTTATATTACACTAAATATTGGGGGAAAATTGGTTAATATGTGAGGGAGACATATTTTTGTAAAATAAAAGCACAGAATAAGTACACCTTCAACTGCAGTTCTATCCTTGGGTTCTGAGAGTTTTGCTGTCACATATATTAAATGACAGGTTTGGTTTCTTCAGGAGATTCACTTCTAATGCAAATTTTGTCTGTTTATAGCAAGACCAATTCAGAAATACATTATTACCAGGCTATTTATTAAATGACCTGATAAGACATTAACAAACATTTCAGATTATTTTCATGAATCCTGGAGCCAGAAATAATCAGGCTTTCAAAATCAAGTACTATTTTTTGCTCTTTAGAATTTCAAAACCTTTCTCCTCCAAAAGGAAAGTTAATAAGAAACTGATTCCAGATTTATTTGCTTAATGTAGGTGATTCTAAATTTTACATTTATATGTTTTCTCCTCTTGTACCGAATAAAAATTATGCAAACTTGTCCAGGGTTATAATACTTTGCCCAGTTAAATATGCCAAAGCATTTTTGGCTTGAAAACAACCTGGACTTGGACAAATTTAGGGTGGTGATAATAATTATAATATACTAATAAATCCAAGCCTTAGTTATAGCACTGTTATAAAGCTTCTTTAGGTAATTCTATCATGCTACCAATAGAATAAAACTGTAATAATTCTGTAAATTTAGGAGTGTGATAAAATTATGAGCTGATAGATTTTAAAAATCTTATCTGTTGAGCAGAGCTAAAATAACAATAGTACTCGCATGTTTGTGGTGCTATTTTACTGTCCAAAGTGCTGTTAAAAACTGCACTATTTAATTTGTCCCTCATAACATACCCATGAAAAAGAATGATTTTTTACTATCATGTCTCCCTTTTTCTAGATTGGGTAAACTGAGACAGAGAAAGATTAGGTTACATAGAAAATTTAATTAATGCAGTTAGGCCTCCAACCCTGGCATACTGTATCCAACTAAGTCCTTTCTATGTGCTATCACCAGTTCTGGAGTTTATCTTAGAATTCGAAACTTGTATCTGGATATGATTAGATGGTTATTAGAATGTGTATATCAGATGATTTAATGAATTACCCTGAATGCTAATTGGTATTATGCCATTTGAATGTTTTCTTTTATAGAATAAATATGGCAGAGCTTTCCGAGACAGAAGGACCAGTAGATTGGAAAGAACGATGCGTAGCCCTGGAGTCCCAACTCATGAAATTTAGAGTTCAAGCAAGCAAGATAAGAGAGCTCCTAGCAGAGAAGGTAAGCTTTTCTCCTTAACCTGTGTGATTAAACAGCAGCGATTTAGGGCCTATTTCATTTCTGTTAAATAATCTCAGTACTTTTGGGGACAAACACTTGATGCAAAATGACTATAACTTAACTTTTTGTCAGGGCTTTGAAGCCATATTTGGTCTAGTCTTTTGCCAGTCTTAGAGTAAATTAAGACAAAGACATTTCATTACAAATACTATGCAATGGAATATGTAAGCAGTATGTGTATTTGATGAATGTAGAGTGCATTTACTCCAGAGAGAAAAGCTATAATTTATTTGATTTTATTAGAGAAGTGTGACAGCATTTTGATCTACTTAAATGTTTAGGAAAGTTATGTTTAAAGTGATTATAGAAGAACATTCTCTATCGATAGTAAAATGCGTTTATACTGTATTTGAAAAAATACAGTATTTATATTGACTATGTACCACTAAACTATCATCTCAGCTGGAATTTAATTTAAGATAATTACATGCTTTTCTTAATAATTCTAATAATATAATTAAAATTTTATTTATGTCACAGGAAGTTGGGGGGCATATATGTCTATAAAATGAATAGATAAATTCATTCATTTGTGCATTCATTCATTCAAAAATATTCACTGAGGGCTGACTCTGTGACAGACACTGTTCTTAATGCTGCAGTTACAATTGTGAACAAGACAAGCCGTGTTTCTATTTCCAGGGAACTTGGATTCTAGATCTGCACTGTCCAATATGGCAGCCACTAGCCACAAGTGGCTGTTGAGCATTTGAAATAAAGCTAGGTAAAATTGAAATGTGTTGCAAATGTAAAACACACACCAGATTTCAAAGATTTAGTATGCAAAAAAGAATGTAAAATATTTTACATTCTCTTGCAATAATTTTTATATTGATTGTATGTTGAAATGATAATTTTTGGATATTGGGTTAAATTAAAAATATTAAAATTAATTTTACTTATTTCTTTTTACTTTTTTAATTTTACTAGAAAATTTAAAATTATACATGTGACTCACATTATGTACTAGTATTTCTGTTGGACAATGCTGTCTGGGTGAATGGATAAATGATATTAATGGTCATTCATAACTGATCAGAGTAATTTACAGGTGGCTTCTTCAACTGTAGTCTGCATAATCCTTTTGGATGGAGGGCTGGTACAGGTATCAGATCTCCGAAAATGATCATCTTAAATCTTCCTTTCACTGCTAGCTAAGAATCTCTTAGCACAGAGGTATTCTAATGATATAACTATATATCACTAAAACCCAGAAAAACATCATTCAGTTTAATATCATCTTAAATTTTTGTGCTTTAACATCTTTTAGGTCCAAAGATTAAAGTTATGCCATTAGTACCCAATATCAATTTGCTTTACTTATCTCTATTATAATCAAAGTTGTAACTTGAAGAAAATACCAGTTGAATATCTCCAAGTTGGGGGAGCTTATCCTAACTCAAAGTTAGTGACACATGCTTTTGTCTTTTGCTCCTCTCTCTATAAAAATCATTTCTTAGGTTGTACTGTGATTTATCTGCTATTTTCCACAATTCTAATCACCTCATACAATGACTTTTGTCAAAATTATAAATTATACGTGTTGCTAAACCTCATGGATAATTTCCCAGGTGTTGCCTTAGTCTCTCAGCAGTTAGCACACTCTTGACTCCTCAAAATTTTCTTGGTTCTCTATGGACTAAATAGAAGTTATGCTTATTTGGTTTCCAATTAGTTGACCTTTAAATTCTGAATTTGATGGCAACATTTGTTCTGTTTTTTTTAGAAGACTTGTAACAAATTTTTTTTAGTGCCCATTTTTAAAACTTTAGTGTTGTTTTCTCTACAAGTAAAATTGTAAATAGCTTTTGATTATTAATTTATGTTACTAGACTTTATTTTTTCTTTGTCAGTGGATGAATTTTGAGAGTAATATTATTTTCAAATTGCTATTTTAGTTGTGGGTTTTTCTTCCTCCCCCCCTTTTTTTTGTCTTTTGTATCTGTGACTTAAATCCTTTGCCAGATCTAAGAGATGGAATTACTCAGTTGTGTCTTATACAGTGGAAAGTAGATAAGTTTGCCAAGTTACTCATGGTTTTCCAGTAAGTAGATTCAACATCAAAATGGAAATAACGTTTTTCACAATATTTTCTGTTATATTCCATTATGCAATATTTTTCTCTGGATTAAAAATTAGTTTTGGTACTCACCCATGTTTTAATAAAAATACCAAGTATTTGTTGATTTTTTATGTGCTTAACAACCTGTGAAGTAATAAATTTTATTGTTCCCATTTTACAGATTAGGAAACTGATGCTTACTATGTGCCAGGCAGTCTTCAAAGTGCTTTATGTAAATTAACTTTTTAATTATTACAACAACCCTAGGAGTTAGGTACTGAATTATCCATATTTGCATAGGAGGAAACTTAGGTGCATAGCAGTTATTTAGCTTGACTGTGTTTGTGCCAAAAAGTAAGTGATGAAGCCAAGATTTGAGACTTGGCATTCTGCTTTGAGAACCTGAATGCTTAGCCATCACCCTATATGGCCTCTCCCATCTAGTTTTATTACCACATTCCTTGCTTTCTCTGACATACCCACTCATCTATTCAATCTTCTTTTCAGCCATGCAGCATATAAATCCATCTCTGCTTGGGGCCGGTATTTGTGTGTTACGATGTGTGTGTGTATGTAGTAATAATGATTTACATAACATTACGTATCTTTTCAAAGCGAACCCTATTGCATTGCTTCTACATGCCAACTTGAGTCAAATATTGCATTCCAGAGGCCAGTCTGGTCCCATTCATAACCATTGGTTTTATGTTAGGACCAGTCTGCTCTATAGCTTTTCCCTGCTAGTTCTCCACACCTTCCCCCCAAATGGATGCTGGTCCAAGGCTGAGGATTCTTTTTTTTCAAGGCTGAGGATTCTTGAGAGAATACTAATTTGATTCTTTAGCTCTTTGCCAGGAATTCTAGCCAACTTTTCTTTTCTGCAATAGTTTTTGATTCTTGGTTCTGTTTTATTGGCACGGGCTATGGCAGCTAACAGTAAGTGCTAACTATAGGTCCTAAGCAATTAGTACAACCATTAGCTAATTTAAACCCCAAAGTAACCTGATGAGGAAACTATTGTGATTCCCAGTCTAAATATGTTGACATTAAGACTGAGAGTATTTGAATAGTGTGCCCAGTATCATACAGCTAGAAATTGAAGATCTGGCAGTAAATCTTAGATCTTTCACGCTTTTCTTGTGATGCAGTTTATAAATAGAGTGCCTGGCACATAGAAGTAACTCATTATTATTTTCCTATATCTTTCTAAATGAATACACTGGCTAAGTGTGCAAGGAGATGATTTCAACAAATGTAATTACCAATTAATAGGAGACATCTTTCTGAATTTTTTAGGAAAGACGTGTGAGATGATCTCAGAGTGTTTTTTATAATGAAAGGTGAATTTTTAGTTATGTATACCTTATGTGTGTTTTTTTTTTTTTGGAGATGGAGTAGGAGAATACAGGGGATTTTTCTTAAAAAGAGTTATTTTGTATTTTTTTAAATCATAATTTCTAAGTAACTTAGAATATTGAAGTTTATGAAGAAAAAGGCCTTATTGAAGTCTTGGGCAAATACTGCTGTAAGTGGGAGAGGTCTTTAAAGGAATTTAAGGAATGGTGTTGGAAATATCTCTAGTATGCCAAATATAAACTCTTCAGGGAAGCTGAGATTTAAGTAGTTTTCCTACTTTACAGTATTACTAGTTTTCTGAGTCAGGGAGGGAAGAAGGAAAGTTTCATTTTAAGTTGAAGTGAATGTTATTTCCTATGGGTTAGATTGGAAGAATTTTTCCTTTAGGTATCAGCGTGGCCCAAGTCACCTAATGCTGCCTTTGGCTGATACAGCATTACTGTCTGGTTTCTGGCCACTTGACCTTCCTTCTGTGACTATGATTCCCCAGAGGTGGTTTAGAATTCTCTCATGGGAATGAGGAGTCCGTGGACAGCACAATGTTTGCTTTTCATATGACCACGATTACCCTATTTAAATTCCACATCTCAGTGTCTCTGTTGCCTCACCTAATATTTCACAGTGCCTAACAGAAATTATACGTATACTAACAATAAGACTTTGCAGGCTAATTTATATTATTTTGGGCTACTGACTGAAGATATTATTTATTATAACAAAATGGTGATAGAGTCTTTTATGGGTTCTATGGGGGCAACAGTCAGGAAGAAAGCTACTTGGGGGATTGCTGTCTACAGCAGTAAGTATAAAGGTCCTAAAGTATTCCGTCTAAAGTAACCAGTCTACAATACTTGAGACACTAAGCATTAATCACAGTGGTGTTATGATCTGAGATCAGTGGCATATTTCCTCCTGCCATTTGCTGCTGTGTCCAGTCTGGCTACAGAGAGCACTTCTGTAGTAATCAAAACAGAAGGTTTTGTTATTGTATTAAGTGGCCTGTTCATAAAATACTTATTTTTGTCCAATGCCTGATATGGGCAGCAGATCATTCAAGTTTCTTTTAGTGACTTAGTGTGGATTGGTTATGGAATTAGCCTAAGCTTTACATAATAGCTTACATCGTGAAAGTAAAAACTTACATGAATATTTTCTGCATTGCTTTATTAAGTGTTTTGCAAAGTTGCTTTCCAGCTTGAATGATTATGAAAACAGTCACTCAAAGTTAAAGTATTGCCTTTCATACTTTTTTTCTATAAACTGATTTTAAAGTGTCCTAAACTTTATTGGAGATACTTGCATGTGTACTTACATTTATGTAATGTGACACATTCAGCATTTATAATCTATAATATAGATTGTGAAAATGTAGTGATTTTCTTTTATCAAAGTTTGTATTACATCTATTGAATTTTTATTATGTGGTATTCATTACTCCAGCCTTAACCATTGTTATGTATCTAAATAAATACACTCAAAATCTGGGGAGAAACTGCTTAGCTTATTTCCTATTCAGTGTAGAATCCTGTTAGAATCTCAAATTCCAAATTGAGCTTCTCTTGGTTCTATCTCTTTCCCTGCATTTCTGCAAGAACTCCTGCATATTTCAGGCAGACTGCCAGCTGCATGTCTTCAGATCACTTCCAAATCGCTTAGCTCTGCACACTTTTTAGAAGGCTAAGTCTTTTCATAGGTTCTATACTTAAGACAATTCCTCCTTCCATAGTCATGTATTTAAAGTCGCCAGATGTTGTCGTGTGGCCCAGATAGGAGGGTAGTGATGCATCCCTAGGAAACAGAAGCTACTTTAAATTTTCAATGACAGCAAGTATAGTGGGATGTGCAAGGAAGAACCAGTTGTAGTTGTTGCCATACTTTTCAAAGACATAGTTGTAAGTTTTCCTCATCTGTATCCACGTCATTGTTAAAATGTTAAACAAACTAATCACTTTTAGGACTGTTGGGCTCTGCTTTGTTCCAGTGTGGACCTAAGTATCTTTCAGTACAGCCCAATCATGGTCATTTTTGGATTCTCCAAGAAAGAGATAGGAAATACAGCTTATGAGAATACACCACTTTCTGATATCATTGTGACTTTCTGATCAACAAATCAAGAATGACATTTGAGGTTTTACCATTCTCTTAAAGTTAATTTATTGTTTTTATTATGTGTTGACGAATAATTTTTAATTTACAGTCCAATGAAGAAAATTCTATTGATGTATACTCATGTGTTATATATTACATTGTATTAAAAGTATCAAACCTTTGGTTATTTTGTTTGATCTGTTTTTAAATGTGCACTGAAAGAGCCTTTAATGTGGTAAATTGTATGTCATTCATATCCATTGAACTACTTTAAATACTTCTTAAAAAGTTGATGACATTGTGAGATTTCTAAGTGCCTTTCAAAAGGGAAATACGAGCTTTTCTATTTTTTCTATTTTCCTCGCTTTACAGATGCAACAGCTTGAGAGACAAGTTATTGATGCTGAACGTCAAGCAGAAAAAGCTTTTCAACAGGTAGGGTATAATTTTAGTTAAAAATGCCTTTTTCTCCCTCTACTAATATCAACATTGTTTTGCCCAAAACGGTCCTCAAACTAGTCTTCTGCCCTCCTCTACATACTATCATTTTGACTGTTCATGAGCTAGATCCATAGAGAAATGGAGAATCTAGCTTTATTTTGCCACTTAACTGGTTTTCAAAAGGATAAATATACTTCTGTTAGGAAGTTTCATCTTACTTTTGAGAAAATCAAATACGAATTTTATGGTAATCCTAATCAAAATGAAGTTTTGTATGTGAATAATATAGCAGCTTTATTTATAGTAATAAAGAGTTGGAAGTAATATGAATGCCATGTCATAGAAGAATAAAGGAGTGAACTATATCCACTCCATGAAGCATTAAACAACAATTAAAAGTAATATAATAGCTTGGCCGGTGTGGTTCAGTGGTTGAGTGTTGACCCAGGAACCAAGAGATTGAGGTTCGATTCCCAGTCAGGGCACATGCCTGGGTTTTGGACTCGATCCCTAGTAAGGAGTGTGCAGGAGGCAGCTGATCAGTGATTCTTTCTCATCATTGATGTTTCTATCTCTCTCCCTCCCCCTCTCCCTTCCTCTCTCTGAAATAAATAAAAACATGTTTTTAAAAAAACTTTAAAAATAATAATATTACAAAGAATATATACTACTAATATGGAACAATGCTTAGAGTTATATTAGGAAAACTATATACAAAATTTTACACTTAATATGTTAATAGGTTTGGGGAGACAAGTCAAATGCTTGATAAGTCACTTAACCCTTTCTGGGTCTTGCCAACAGCAAAATGAGTGGTTTGGATGAGGCCACCAACCTTAAAGTTTGTCTAATAACCTTAATCCATAGCTTCACATTTTATGAAAAGATGTCTATCAGATCAGTCAAGTCAAGAATTTCAAAATTATTATTTCTCCAAGAAGTTTATATTAAATTTCTTATTCTTGCTCTAAATTTATCATGTTTCTGTCCTTCAGTTTGATAATAGCATTATCAAATTATGTTTTCACCTAAAAGATTTAATTTCACACAGCAGATTCTTTTAGTGGCCTGACAAGTTTCCAAGGAAACCCAAACTAACCTAATCCTTAGTTTTCTTAAATTAATTATTATTGAAAAGAAATTTTTTAAACTTTATTATGCCAAATGTCAACCCCTACAAGAGTATAGGTAATGAACACCCAATACCAACTTCAACAGTTAATTAACTCATGGTTACTCTATAACTCCATCCACTTTTCCCTCCTCACCCCCACACCAGGTTATTTTGAAACAAATCCCAGACATCTTATTTCACCCATGAGTATTTCAGCAACTAATCTAAAAATGAAGACTTAAAAATCTTAACCACAGTGCCATCATCACGTTAAAAAATTACCAATAATTCTCTAAAAACTCAACTTTAGGTATTGGTAGAAGTACTAGTACTAATGGTAAGGATCTTTGCTGTGCTTGGTTTTTATATTTATTATTATTATTGATTTTAGAAAGAGGAAGGGAGAGAGAGAAACATCAATGTGAGAGAGAAACATTGTTCTGTTGTCTCTTGCATGCACCCCAACCAGGGATTGAACCCGCAACCTTGCGGTGTAAGGGACAATGCTCCAACCTACTGAGCCACACCAGCCAGGGCTTATATTCTTTAGCTGATAGTAATATCTCCACTTCAATCTAAGTATTGGCTAAAAAGCCAATAATTAACAATAAAATTGTAAAAGGTTACTTATAGTCTATGAAAGACTCTTATTTTTATGACATTGTCATTCTACACCAAGTGTTTTGTTTCTTTTCTGTGGTGGGTCCTATATGTATGTCCCTGTTTAGCCCCACACCTTGCAGCACACATTTTGTCTGCCTCTCTGGCTTTCATGTCTACCTCCTTGTCTTCTCCTTTCTGATTTTGGCCTTTCCTGATGACATCTCTCTTTACCTCTAATGCCCCTGTCTATCTCTATATGTCTCTCTACCCTTTCTTTCTCCTCTTTAACTGCTCATACTATAGGGAAAAAGAAAGAAAGAAATTGAGAATGGCTTTGTTTGCCCTTTCTTAAATTGAAATACTTACTGTACATATATGGCACATTTATTTAGCTCTGAAAATTAAACTAAGTACATTTTATGTGTGATTTTCAGGGTTTTTTTTTCTTTGATTCACTGGATCTTAGTAGAAATAAAGAAACCCATCCCCAATTCAAGGGAAGAAAACCATGGCAGTTTATAGCTATTAGGCTCATCTACTGATTTGATAAGTTAACAGGAAGAACTTCTTATTTGACATTGTCCTTTGAGGATACCAGGTGTAAAGTTACTTAATTCTTTGTGCTACATTTTTAAGCAATAAAACATGATAGTTGATTATTTTAGACATACCGCCTTAAATCAGTTCCCACCCCTAAAAAAGGAGTAAGACTTGCAAATCTCCCAGTTTCTATAGAATTTAGCAAAATCCGTATATATTTCTTTTTGTGACAACACTTTAAATTTATTCAGTACCTATTTTTTATGCTTCCAATGGAATTTTTTCTTAAATACTTCATAATGAACCTAAAAGTTAACAGGAAATATAAACAGAGCAGATGAATTCTCATGCACCGATTATAGCACCTTGCTTTGGCCTTCACAAGATTAAGTAAATATTATTAAGTTGGGGCAACTGAATCCTCTGCTATCTTTAACAGTTTCCATGGGACTGGGGCCTATCTGTTGTTTATGTTGCTTAAATTCAGCTTGTCCTTTGTCATTGAGCCATAGCCTAAGACTTAAACTGTACTTTATTAACCAAAAAGGAATGTTTCACCACTAAAAGCAGTAGTCAGCCGAAACGAGCTCAACAGGATACTTTTTAGCTTTGACCATTTTTCTTCTTGTTTATTCATGAGTGGCATCACCTGCAAAACCATTAAATACGTGGGGTTTAGGAAAAAAAAATCACATATTTCCCCAGAGGCATATTGGCCGTCTTTATACTTAATGCTGTAGTACATTTTTATTGTTACTCACAACTGTCGAAAGCAGTGTGTGCAGATCAACCCACTACTGTTTATGAGTATTCTATGAGACAGAACAACAACAAGTAGCACATTTGGATATAATGACCCACAGGATTCATTCCCAAGCACCTGATTAGCCGTGTACTCAAAGGTACTACACGGTTTTATGCTAACCAAAGAGGGGTAAATAATTTCCCCTGGAGAAGTTTGTGTTTTCCTTGTGTCCTGAGTTCAGTCACTTGCCTTTGTTTGTGATTGGTAGGAGCTGGATTTAAAGTTCCCTGTGACCGTTCTAACATGTGGGCTAATCTGCTTTTCTGTAAAGTTGGTTGTTAGTATCCAAATCATTTTTGGTTCCTAATAAATGATTCCTACTCAGTCATCCTGATCTCCAGGGCCTGGCAAGCGTTTCTTTACCAACCAGTTTGAATTCATGTATGTTTGTTATTGGCCAGTCTCTGAGTAGTTAAAATTTTTATATGGTCCAGATTAAATGAATCAAAAAAGAACCGGGCTATTTTCTGTGGACTTGTGGTAAGATATTTTGAAAGCGGCTTGGTTTTTCTATAAGCCTTTTCTGTAGAACTCTTATCCATTAATTATCAAGGACGACTGCTGAATTCTGTGGAACTCGGTCTTAACAGGACCACTTAGCAAGTGGGTTGCCTGGCACTGCTTTGTGATCGCTCTCCCTGGGAGACTTTGCCATTTTTGCCAATATTTTCCTTGCCTGGGAAAGTTGTTTATCTAAAAGTACTAATCAATTTACAGAGTTGCACGTGCCAAAGATGCAGCCAAGGAGCTCTGACTGTGGCATTCATTCATAAAACGAGAACGCCTTTCAAACTGAACGTGTTTTTCAGGGGAGATGCGTACTCCCAAACCAGAGTTTTCCTAGGCAATAACAGGACAGTTTTATGTGGCAGCCCAAGGTCTGTAGGGTGGCTTGCTCTGACTTAATAAAAAGAGACTGTACGTGTAGGCCTGGTAATGTTTATTTCTATTCTTATTCAGTTATTTTTGGTTTTCTTTAGCTTTATAGGCGTGGAAAATTTATTTCCTTCTAGGCCCTTTGGCTGATCTAATAATTAAACTGGTGTAAGACAGATTTACAGGATAAAACCCCCCAATTTAATTATTTATGTATGGGAGCCCCATAAAGACATGAGGCTCATAGAAGTGAACAAAGCAGGCAGCTTTCATACCTTTTAGGCGAGAGAACAATCAATCTGTGAAAAATTGACAAGACAAAGGGGGTTGCGCTTCACTAAATTTGTGAAGAAGTAACAAGGCTTGTTTATATCGTTTTCTCGGCCCTAAATTTCTTATTCCGGTGGTAAGAATGCCTTCTACCCTTCTGATACAGGGAGGGTATCTTTCACATGGGAGATTTGTTTCCTGCTTTGGGGGGAACCAAAGAGGGTCAGAGTGTCCTTCTTGTACTGGCTGTTTCTCAAGTAACTTTAATTCAAATAATCAGTATGCCAAAGAGGCATATTTGGGGCAGATCTATTCTGCTCCCCTTTAGGTTTATCATCTATTACTGGATCCCTGGAGCAGAAATAGCATTTTGGACTTGGACTCTGCTCTTCTCTCTCTGCTTCCACAGCTACAGGATGTCCTGTGCAAAACTGGCTGTACCATCTTCAGATCGACCCTAGATACTCACTGTCCTGCTCCAGCTGTTTTTCACGACAGCATCTCTCATGTAGACCTCTGTCCTTGACTATTGGTCTGCAGTTTCTGCAGAAAGCCTGCTATATTATGTTAAAAAAAACCTAAACCTTAAGATAACTTAAAATTGTCTCTTAGTGAAATACATTTTTATCTTTTTAAAAATCTACTTTTATTTTCATAGTTTCCAGCCACGTGGGTGGTATTTAAATAGGACACTTTTGGCATTGGAGTTGGATTTACATTTATACGCTGAACCCACAGATGAAATCTTGTATTCATGGTTAAAAAACCAAAACTAACCTTAAGATCATCCTTCTAGATGTTAAGTAATTTTAAATATTAAGTAAGGACTGTGTGATTTTTCAGAGGTGTTTTTAATAGTTTAAGGTTTTTCATCCTAACTATAATCTTTAATTCCTCAAATGCTTTTGCATATTTCTCTTCCTTGCCCCTATAATCTGAAACATTGCTAAAATTACATTCTTGCTTATTTGGAGTATACAAACTAAAAGTCTTACTGTCGTAGAAATTGCCCAGCACTTCATTTTCTTTCTTACTATCATTAACACTCACACATCCCTTCTAAGATTTCATATGCTCAAATGTGTTTTGCAAAAGATCCAAGCAGAGCCAATATATTTTAGATAGTAAACTTGAGGCACCGCTGTACCCCCAGACACACTCTTTTATCTTGTTCTTTTTTCCCCGTTACCCTTATCATCTTGTGTAACATACTGTATAATTTTTACACCTTTATTATACTTGTGATCTCTCTTACCCAGTAGAATTTAATTTCAATTCAAGCAAAGACTTTAGGCCCATTTTATTCACTGATGTCTTCCCAGGACCTAGAGCAGGCCTGGCAGTGGCAGGTATTTACTGAATATTTGTTAAACTAGTGAACCAATAAACCTCACGTGGCATACTCTCCTACCTATATCTTGACACTCATATTTTTAAAATATTTTTTATGATTCCATCAGTGGAGCTTAAGGTTCTTTTGATTTCCTTTTGTTTTCCATTATGTGTATGTGTGTGTGTGTGTATGTGTGTGTGTGTGTGTGTGTGTGTGTGTGTTTTCATGTAAGTTTAACTTTTCCCTCAAAATTTGTTATTATGCTAGGCCAGTGGTTGGCAAACTCATTAGTCAACAGAGCCAAATATCAACAGTACAACGATTGAAATTTCTTTTGAGAGCCAAATTTTTTAAACTTCAACTATATAGGTAGGTACATTTCTCTATATGTCCAAACCATCTCAACATACCTTTCTCAAAATAGACTCGCCCAGGCTGAAAACCGACTTCTGCGCATGGGCCACGAAGTTTCAATCGCACTGTACGTGCGCGCCTGCACGTGGTATTTTGTTGAAGAGCCACACTGAAGGGGCCAAAGAGCCGCATGTGGCTTGCGAGCCGCGGTTTGCCGACCACTGTGCTAGGCCATCCAATTAGAGTCTTTATGTCACCACTCACCTTCTTTTCTTTATATTCCTACTTTGTTTAAAATATGAAAAAGTTAGGGCTGGAAACTTCCTGATCCTATACTCTTATGAAATGCTTTGCATATTATTATTGTTCTATTAAACATGTACATTATATGATAGCAATAATCTGCAAATCTCTAATGTACCCTTTTGTACCTCAGAGTTAACACCACTTGGCAAAGTAGTCTTCAGACTTGATAATTGTTATATATATTGAAATGTGCTGTGCAGTATTTTCCTTTTATGATGATAACTTTTAGGAACCTATTTAATGTGAAAGTAAAATTCTAAATTTAATACTATGATAAATTAAGTCCATGCCTAATTTTATTATTTACCTTCTGAACTTAGGTACAAGTTATGGAAGAGAAATTAAAAGCAGCTAATATTCAAACCAGTGAATCAGAGACAAGGTTATATAAAAAGTGTCAAGATCTGGAGACCCTGATACAGGAAAAAGATGATATCATACAAAACTTGGAACTGCAACTTGAAGAGCAGGTTAGGAAGAATTTGATCATTAAACAGTTCTAAATATATGCATTCATTTATGCATAATCACAAAGATGAAAGAGACAGAGCTTAAACTTCTAAATTTTGGTCTGAAATCTTACTCATTTGGTCAACCCATAGAATTGCATTACATTTATTGGTGAGAGGTGAAGGAAATGGCCTTCACCTTTAAGTCTGGGGTAATTCTGAGACACTTTTTGTATGTGACAATGCTCCTAACTATAAAAGTGTGAGTGTAATGTTTAAGTTGAAAACACTTGGTTATCAGCAGGCATTTCTGTCTGTAAAATGTTTCAAGTAAATCTTTGTTTTAGAATGTTTAGGGTGTTGGGAATGTTGATGGCTCGTTATATTTTAAATATAGTTTGTGGCTAATCTGTCTGCTTAGAAATGTGCACACTGCTTATAAACTACTTTATTGAGATCAAGTATTGTATTTAGTTCATTTTAAAAGTTTATTAGCAAAAAAAAATTGCATTAGGATTATTTAGCGTCATTTAAATATGACCACTCTGAAATTGTTAAATATGTTAAATTACTTATTTTCAGCTTTTTTTTCATTTCTGTAGGGATTGGTGTTTTGTTGGGTCAGTGGTTTTCAGCCTTCACCACCCCTGTTCCCCACCAACTGTAATTTATACAGTAGTCACGTTCTCAGGAGTTTTGTGACCAAACTCGATTTTAAGTTGGTAAATGTGAGCTAGCGCTTTTTGATCTTCATTTTTTTTTCTGGATCTTTAAAAGCTAGTAGTGTTTGAGGGGGAAACAAAGTCATGCCCCAGAGGAGATTCTGACTCTCTTCCCCCCAACCTGGTTGTCCACCCCCCCATTGTTATAAACCCTAGACCAGTGGTCGGCAAACCGAGGTTCGCGAGCCACATGTGGCTCTTTAGCCCCTTGAGTGTGGCTCTTCCAGAAAACACCACGTGCGGGCGCGCACGTACAGTGCAATTGAGTCTTCGTGGTCCATGCGCAGAGGTCGGTTTTCGGCCTGGGCGAGTCTATTCTTCCTTGCATCACTGACAGGATATTTAGTACTAAATGACACGTGTTTAGTTGTAAAGTGTCTCTCCAAATTTGATTTCTTGTTATGCGCCAATTTTTCCTGACAAATAAGA